GGTTTAAATCGGCATTCAGCAGGGAGAGTCAGGAAGAGGGAAGGACTGCTGGGAATGGATACTTCCTGCCCTGGGCGCCGTGGCGAGAGGACAGAGCCCCCCCAGGGCGGGGGGCAGAGAGACAGAGGGGAGCGAGCAGAGCGGGGGGCAGAGAGACAGAGGGGAGCGAGCAGGGTGGGGGACAGAGAGACAGAGGGGAGCGAGCAGGGTGGGGGGCAGAGAGACAGAGGGGAGCGGGGCTCTTCCCACCTGATATCTTGCTCTGCTGACTGGCGTAGCTGGAGTTGCGAGAGTGGCCCGTGTGGAACACCTCCTCCGGGCTGGACAGGTTCTGGTCGGGCTCCTCGGGCAGACCTGGATCGGCAGAGGGAGCAGGGCCCAACGGCCAGCGCGTGATTCCCGCGAGCGGCCCGCTTCGGCTTTAGCACACACATCACCGTGAATCTTTACACCATCATTTCTCCACAAGGCCTTTCCTGTCCTTTAGGGCAAGGTTTCTCAACCCAGTCCTCGGGGACCACCAGCCGGTCCACGTTTTTGCTCTCTCCCAATTGGCAGGGAATTGGGAGAGAGCAAAAACATGGACCGTCTGATGGTCCCCGAGGACCGGGTTGAGAAACCCTGCTTTAGGGAAAGCTTACTTACCTGTGTAATTTTGGCCTCTTACTTTAATGTAGGAGTTACTGAACTCATATGGCTTCATGTAGTTCAAGACCTGACCGAGAGAATTTGTTGCCTGGAAAGCCAGTTATCCAGAGTAAAAGCTACCACGTTAACTACCATCAAAGACCGACCCTTACCAGCGCTCATCATGGAGGGCCTAGACTTCAGCACCCGGGCCGAAGCCGTGCCAGTCGCGGGGAGTGTGGGCGTGGCCATCGTGCCCTCCCCCTTGCAGTCCAGCTGCAGGGAGTGGTCCTGTCCTGGAGTAGAAATTGACTTTGCAGAGCTGGGGGGCCTGTGCAGAGGGGACATGATCAGTGATATGGAAGGTACCTGCCCCTACTCAAGCATGTTCTCAATGTGAGAAATAACAGCTACAAACATACTATGGCTACTGTTATACACATG